ACTACCCAGGAAACGCAATTACCACTGCGGCCGCTGTCAATGTTTGAACGCCTTTGAAGGCCGAGTGGCACATAACACCGAATGGGTTTTTAGTCGTCACCTGGCCGCCCTAATTTCACACCGTTCCGCCAGCGATTGGCAAACATTGGCTCATTTGTCGTCGGAAAACGCGTGCTGCCTGCCCTGAGGGACGCCATTCCCGCCTAGAGGCTAATAGCCGCTGTGATGGGGACCGGATATCAGCTGGTGACAAACTGAAAATGTTCACTCATCAAGCTCGTGGCTAGTGGGCGGGGCGGAGCGGGAGGGCAGGTCACTGGGTGAGGAGGCTGACGCAACTTGCAGCAGTCGAAATTCCAGAGACGATAGTGTAAAGAACCAAAGACTGATTGATGTAATTCGCCCTGCGAACTGACGCGAAGTAGCGTGTCTCTGTTCAGGCCGCCCTGTCACTAGGCGGGCGAGTCTCATCAGTCTCACGGCACTGACCGACTCACGGTCATCCTACTCAGTGTCACTGCTGTGACGTCTCGGGGTGGGCCGTATTTCACTTCGGCGCACCAACTCAAACACTGGGGGACGGGTGCAGGCCGCTCTGCGCCACGCTATGGATTATTCCGCGTGAGCTGACGGTACTTACGGATCAAGGCTGACACTATGCCCCGAACCCCTATCTATTATTCAACCTCTAAATAATGTTCCTATTAAATCGGACGGTAGCCTGGCTTGTCTGGCCTGACACTGATCTCCAGCCTGGTCTCATACAGTCGACTTCAGACTCAAACAAAGTTCCAGCCCAATCCCTCTCCCTCATTTCTCTCTCCTTAGGAGCATTTCAACCTCGCCGACCCCAGAGGTCAGCCTCAGAATGCGCTGCGTGCCCGGGGCCGGTCTCCCCAGCGCGCCACGGGAGGCGGCACCGGCGTCAACACCGCTCTGAACCGGGGACTGATGATGACGGATGACGGCTGCCGGTGACGCCGAGCTGTGACCCGACCCGAGACAGCTGAATGGGCCGGCAGCGGACCGGCCGCCGCGGCCGCGCGTCGTCCCCTCCGTCAATGCCAGACTCGGAGAGTCAGAGAGTCAGAGAGGCAGAGAGTCAGAGAGTCAGAGAGGCAAAGAGGCAGGCAGGGAGGCAGAGTCAGGTCATGACAAAACCTCGAGTCAGACCCCCAGTTTGAGATCTGGAATGGAGCAACGTCCGGGCGGGGAGTCGAGGAGTCAGGCCATGACAAGACACCGAGTCAGACTCAGAGTCTGGGACCTGGAATGGAGCAACGCCCGCGCACAGGGCGGGTTCAGCCTGATTCCAGCACGCTGTAAAAGGTTGTGCAGCTGAGACAGAGGTAAATATCGGCCGGAACTAGGGAGCCAGAGGGAGGGGAGGGCTGCGGCAGCTCGATAATACGTGCCACGGCACGATATCCGCATAGCTGCAGCGCCGTTCGACCTGGGCACCGCTCCCCAGCTCCAGCCGGGGCTCTCAGTTCCGGACGAAACCAGACGGCCACCCAGCCAGCCAGCCAGCCAGACGAGTATACCCACAGCCACCGCCCGGGCACGACCCGGCACGTGAGCAATGTCGGGGCGGAGATCGGCCCACGTTCCGGCAATATCGCTGACAGCCGCGGATGCCAGACACGGGTGTAACTTCCAACTAAATCATCTCGGTCGGACAGGCGATATATCACAGGCAGTTACCGCACGGCGCGGTACCAAATCGGTGCCTTTGCCGCAAAACTTGGCCAACGCCTGGCAACAGATATTCGCACTTCCGACTGTGCGCTGCCGCCCCAGATACCTCCCAACACCCAGCCCGCATGCTTGTCCGATACTCTCGCACCTTTCCGACTCTGCGTGTAGCGGAGTGCGGCGATCTGCGCCTCTGGCAGTTGGCGCTGGCCGCTCGGCAGTACCCGGTCATTACTGGCCTCCCGGCGGGCCCGGCACGTCGAGGATGGTCCGACGCGCTCGTAATGAGTATCACGGCTCCGGCGGCGGCGGCGGCGGACCGGCACAGGCCAGCTGGCGCGGCCAAACCAAGGAGGCGGGCGAGAATACAACGGACCGCGCGTGCACGGGGCGAGGAATTTGAAACAGAGGTCATGATGTAATGCCGAGCGTGTCTTACCGTTACAAGACAGTTCAAACAAAGGTCAAACGAATAGCGTATATGGAACATGAAATACGGACTGACATAATACCTTGCTTCTCCCAAAAAGGCCCGAGTGTATTGAGCGTAGAATCAATACGAGAATAGGCATGCTGCAATACGTTTACCAAAACTCATGAACAAAATACAACATAAAACAGTAATTTTCAGCTTTCGACAATGATGATGAGCAGCGCACAGCAATCACCCCATATTGGGCAGCGCGTCACCTCCTCGTAATTAGTCGGTCCAGATACGGGTGCGGTGCCGGCGTATGGCTCCAATCCATGCGGCGCTTTATGACAGCCAGCTGTGGGCTGTATAGCCCGGGGAGCCCAGGGAGATAATGACGGTACACACGACCACCTGTGACTCGGGAGAGACGGGACGGGACGGGACGGGATGGGAGACGGATGGGATGGGACGGGACGGGACGGGACGGCGGGCGACGTGGGTCCAGGGAGATGATGGCGACTAGTGAGGGCGGCCTATCGGACTATGTGAAAAGATCGTAAGAATTCGCGGTTGGTGAAGTTTAAAGTTGTAACTTGTTGGTGTAGTATGTGTAAGGGAGGAAATAAATGTAGTTTAGTTGGGTCTGTCCAATAAAAAGTAATTACTGCATCGTAGCTCTTCATCTACATAAATATAGTTTGAAAAGGCTTTGTGACCGCAATAAATCAATCTATCGGTTCTCATTCTTTCATTAAATGCGATATAAATTTAGCTTTTCAGTTTGGAAAGACAAGAAATAAGAAATGTGAGAAAAAGCAGAGATAAAAATATCAAAAATAAGAAAACAATCTCACCATGGTTCAGAAGGCTCAGCGTCTCATTACCTATACAGCTATTTAACTCTCTATTTAGTCCTGCATTTGAGAAACATTGGGAAACTCCAGTAGGTAATCTCTCTGACTCCTGTGGCGCATAAATCGGCATCGTGCAAACAAAGGTAAACATCGCATTGAAAGTCGAGTGTTTGACTAGTTTCACAACAGCCTTGAACAACAATTAAAACTTGCAAATGAGTTGATTGTAAAACAGCTGAACTAATCTCGAATCACAATTCATCCACGAATGCCTTGCGTGTCCTATCATACACACGAGTTTTCTTCACAATTCCACCATTCCACGCAAAGGCAAATGCGGTGCGGGTAATAAATGCAACATCAACGTCGGTATGTCGGTAAGGAAGAAAGCCGTGGAATCAAGTCGGCGCAGCCACGGGACAAAAACTGGCACCCCGGCGAGTTCCTTCCCCACCCACTCCCCACTCACACTCACACACTCCCAGGCAGCACGAGTCGAGGCGGCATTCCACTGGTCAAAAGGCGGCTCAGAGGCCAACCAAAGGCACGCAAGTGCCTCGGGATTAACGCCAAGCGAGCAGCGCGCTGCGATCGAAAATACATCGGCTCTTTGCGTTAGATATGCAACTCATCGCGCGGTGTGACGCTTTCCTGATGGATCATCATAGGGAACGCGTTTGGTCTGTATGAGACAGAAATACGCCACATAGCCGAACTATGGTGATGTGAAAACAGCACATACCAGGGAGAAGAATTGCTGACCATTCGCTCCATCCATACACTATGCAGAGGAACCCATCGATAAACAAGCGGTCTTATTCGAAAATAGCGGTAAATGCGATCAATGTTATCTTTGGGGTACACTTTGATCATAATGTGAGAAAGTCCTCACGATTGATTGGGCTAAATTTCGTTCAAGAATTAGAATCAAGAGCTCAATTCAATTCATCTGTTTCTTTGAAGTCTCAGCATTAGTTTTAAATACCTACTGAAACAAATCACGAAAAATTAATCGATCATGGCAACAAAATCGTTTCTTGTAGAACTGATCTTAGCTATATTTTACCCAGAAAATCTACATCAATTTAGTCACGAAAGGCAGCAGTCGTGGCAAAACAACACAGGTAGGTATATCTGTGTACTTTTGTAGAGCGGGATAAACTGCCGCGCCTTCCAAGAAAAGCGCCGAGTTCGTGATAACAATAACCGTTCTCGTCGTTTTGGTGACATTGATGACTGATCGCCGATTGTGGGTGACTGGGAACATCGTGAGAAGGCGACATGTCGCTCCGGCATGTCACAGTGCCGCGTGGAAACCACGAAAACAGCGCAAATCGCGCCCGCTAACGATGTAAAGGTAAGCCGCTGTAACCGAGCTCTTCGCAAAGAGCAAAGTAACGAGCACTGGAATCGAATAATTCGTCTATCCTGCTGAAGTGGTGCAAGAAACACCAATTTTATTTGGGCATCCAAGAGCAGAAAGTCAGTTTTATGATAAACCCGTGCCGCCCTTTCGCATCAGGGATAAGGCATTTCTAAGGGACCAACGTTGTTCAGCATACAGTGCAAGTTCAAACACGTTTTGAATATTTTTTACTTTGACTGACACACAGTGTATGACTGACAGATCCTCAAGGGGGGAGGGAGGAAGGGGGAGGGGACATCTGTAGCGCCCCAAATGCCTCCATCCCCTGCACAGCGCCAGAGGTATGACTTGTATAAAATACGCTCACTAAATACGTAAATATAAATCACGGCTAGTGGTTAAAAACTAAAAATAATTTAGCGCCTTGTGAAAATCTAGCTTCGGGCTTAGCTTCTGGGATTATCCATCGCCGCCATTACAATTACCATCGGGCATCGGCTCCACCGGTTGCACCAAGACGCGGGACGCGAGCGATCGAGAAACTAAAAATGCAATTGAGGATCAGGAATTGTGGAAAAGAAGCATAATGTTCTTCTTTTGCCAAACACAAAAATAGGAAATACAAAAAAAATATAGAAACTTGCCGGTCAAAGACCTGGCAAGAACTAACCTGCAATGGCCGCGAAGAAAACCAAGCAGAAATTCGGTATCGCCTTCATGATTAGGCGCCAATGGTTTACTGGTGCATAAATATCTTCCTTCTTCGGCCCGTAATCTACTTCTTCAACTTTCTTATTGCACAGTCGCCGAAGCCCTTCGACAAATACAGGAACGGTCCAGCCCGCGACGCGCACCGCTCAACACCCGCCAAGCAGACAGCAGAAACTGGCCGAGTGCCGCCGCGCGCCACCGACGCGATATGAAAACGCGCGAAACTCGGTTATAGCGACATCTAGGAGGATTCGTAAGCACTGCAATCTGATATTCTCTAGATGTCGCTAGCTACCGCTCAGGGAGGGCTTTGGCTAGGGGCACCCAGGGTATATAGAACAACAGGGGCACCGGGGGCACGAAAGAGTCTCTCCAATCGTAGTTCGTACCGCTGAATATTACCGTGAAGGTTGCCTTGAAGCTTAATGATTTATTATGTTGCCCTAAAAGTCTCTTCAGTGGAAAGCTCAAGCAAACTTTACTTCAGGATTGCATTGGTAGGAGTAGGCAAGCAGTAGCACCTACTGGCTACTTATTAGGTCACCGTTCCGTGCTTCTATCCTCAGGATACAGACATCCTTCTCCTCCACGCCGCAACCCCCTCCGGGCTGGACAGGCAACTTTATCTCATGCGGGCTGCTCCCTTGGAGCGGCACCGCTGCTCCCGAGGGAGCGCACCCCGTAGCCGGGTGCAGTGAGTGCCTTGGGGCTGGGTGGCCTGTCCTCTGGACGGGCTCAGCCCCGGCGACTCACTAGGGTGCCTGCCCAGACCAATGTCTCCCCCTTTATCCTATCATCCTCCCGGCTCTGAAATGGTCTTGCCAGACCGAAAGGGCCTAACCCAACAAAACAAAACAAAACAAAACAAAACAAAACAAAACAAAACAAAACAAAACAAAACAAAACAAAACAAAACAAAACAAAACAAAACAAAACAAAACAAAACAAAACAAAACAAAATAAAACAAACAAACTTATTAGGTCACCGTTCCATGCTTCTATCCTCAGGATACAGAAATCCTTCTCGTCCACTCCACAGCCCCCTCCGGGCTGGACAGGCAACTTTATCCCATTCGGGCTGCTCCCTTGGAGCGGCACCCGGCTCCCGAGGGAGCCCGCACCCCGTAGCCGGGTGCAGTGAGTACCTTGGGGCTGGTCGGCCTGTCCTTCGGGATGGGCTCAGTCCCGGTGACTCACTAGGGTGCCTGCCCAGACCAATGTCTCCCCCTAATTCCTATCGTCCTTCCGGCCCTGAAATGGTCTCGTCAGACCGAAAGGGCCTAACCCAACAAAGCAAATAAACAAACAAATACTTATTAGGTAGGTAGGTAGGTACATTGGAATACGACCTGAGCTCCGCATACATGTGGAGCTATGATATGATCGATACATGTGTCGATCATATGAGACAATAAGACAAAGACATGTTGATGGATCGCAACTTCCATGCATACCTATTTAATTTTTTTTTTTTAATTTCAAATCTAGCGAATTGCATAAAACTCACAAGTTGAGCTGTAGGACTGGACGCGCTAATCCTACTGCTTTGTAATCAAACGCTCACTCTGGATTTCCTCTGCGATGCTTAATATCATTCGCAATGTCTGAAGTTGAAGGTTGAGTGAACTTTGGAACTTGAAAGGCAGACGCGGTTGTAGCCATTAGTCTCTGGGCACTCTAGAGCAGTCATATCAGTTGTAACCTATTATAGTCAGCTCACCGAATGCCATTGGCATTGACGGGAAGGTAGGAGAGGAAACTTGGCATGGAGATTCCTGAGGCCAGGTTAAGCATCTGAAGCAGAGCGACGCAAACCCCCTCTCAGCGCAACCAGAGCCTCTCTCTTATCCCCTGACCCTCTCAAAGACAACCGTAACCTCAGCCCGTATTTGTGACCGTTCCTTCGACAGTGAGCTGCGAGACCCAGAGAGCTTCGGGCGCTGCGGCCGTCACTCAACATCAGTAGGATGTCATCAAACCACTGCACTGCTGTTCAGCTCAGAGGATCAGAATTAGGAGTTCTCCCGAGCCCGACCGAGATCTCGTATACGGTAAGACTATTTGCAGAGCCTCTGTTTGCTAAGAGGCGGGGGCTGTTTTGGGGTTCGCCTGACTTGTATTTATCCTAAATGTCTTTTTTATTGTTCACACCTTTATTTCTTGTTTTACTTTTCTGATCTAATCATTCAGAGTCTGCTCTGTGACTTGTTACCATTGGGATGTGATTTTCTGCACAGCATCAGCCATCATGCCTCGTTGACCCAAACACTCGCTACCATTACCAAACCCAGATCGGAGACAACAAACGCAGATATATTGCATTAGTAAAGTGGAAAACCTGTGTAACTGCTGCTGCGGACTCTGACTAGATCATCCATCGTTTCCGCCCAGCCGCTCACTCGTCGGCTCTCCACTAAAATAACACCACTCGCAGATCACGGTCACTCAGATCCTCGTGGTCCGCTCGCCAACTACAAGTGTCGCCACTCGGCCACAGATGGCAGCACCGACACCTCAGCACTGCGCCGGCGCTCTCCACCGCTGTAGAGCTCTAATAGCGAGCGATGCTGCCTGGGGATATCCCCTCAGCGTATCCACAACTCTCAACAGACTTATATAGGCGCAAGGACACAGAAAATAACACTTCTTCGTGGCGATACGAATCACTCTCCCGCTCCGCTGACGTCAGAGCTGCCTGCGGATTATACCCAATGACGTCACAGCTGACCGGTGGGCCAGGCGATCTTGGCCTCCAGCCGTTTGTAGGAGAACATGCAGTGAACGCCCTTGGAGGCGAGCTCCTGCTTCACCAGCTGGGGACACTCGAGGTCGCCGACCAGCGTCTCTGTGGGACCGACGGACGGGACGTTAGATACATTTATAAAAAAGGACATTTTACGGGTAGCGTGGGCCAGTCAAGCTAGTATCGTACACGTTGAGTTGTTTCTGGTCTTAAGTGGGTTAAGATGTAGTGGCCTAGCACATAATAAATTCACAGCAAAGGCTTATCGACCTCTCCATTTCCACACGCTCTCGTGCCTCTTTTCCTCCCTTCACTCTGACCACACCATCGCCTACTCCCACATCCGTTTCTTCCTCCCTATCCCTCTCCCTTCCTCCCTCCCCCTCTCACCATCGCCATTGATGAGTTTGAAGAGTCCGTAGTCCTGCGGGCTGGTGATCCGCAGTTTGTGGTCGAGCATCCTGCACAGATCCCTGGCCGTGGCGCCCGGTCGACAGGGCAGGGTACGGCTCAGGATCGTACCCTGCTGCTCATCGGGAATTACCACGCGCAGGAAACCCTCGACGGGCTCGCTGCCGCTGCCGCTGCCCGAACGCTGCAGGGAGAGAGGTCGAATGAGTGAGCGAAACAGTAGAAACGTGTCAAACGAGTTGAAAAGTGCGATTTACGAACAATTTACATTTCACCTGTATGATAAATAGCGGAAGACGGCATTGTTTGTCGGCAAATCAGAATGCTTCATTCAAAACGAGCAACACTCCATTACATCATTTCACCGACAGACGTGAGCACCCAGCAGCTTCTCACTTCGTCAATCTGTATCTCACCTGTGAGAGCCGTGTGGTCGAGTCGTTGGCCTTATCGCCCGGATGTTGCAGCACGTTCTTGAGCACGTGCACGGCCGAGGACAGCATGGTCAGGTAGTAGCCCGCCTCTCCGTTCAGCAGCATCGGGTGCAGCAGTCCCCACATGTAGTCCGCCTCAAACTGTGACGGTAAAACAGGGAGGGGTGATTGGTCAGAGTCGTTGTCACGCAAAACGTCTGTAATGACAGATAACGCGGTATGATATCCGAGCATTCACGAAGCAAGAATTGTTAACTTCCAACAACATGGAAGACGTGATTACCGATAAAAACCTAGAGGAGACCACCAAAGGTCGGCATAACCTGACCTCAAGAAGGCCGCTCAACTGAACTCTATGGAGATCACCTGGTCATGGTGGCTCACGTGCCTATGAATGAATAACTGAGTACGACATTGGTGACAAACTGATCACGTTGGTGACCCAACTGACCTCGACATTGGTGACGTGACAGTGCACCAGCGCGTACAGCAGTAGCGGCAGGAAGTCATCCGCCGGGATACACGCGTCCCGCTCCCCCGCTGCCGAGAACAGCGCAGACACCGTGGCCAGCAGGCTCTCCAGCTTGTCCAGCGGACTCGCCGAGTCCTGCATCCTACCCAGGAAGTGGCGGACCGAGCCCAGGACCGCCGCAGACGGCGGGGTCTGGTCTCGCTTCATTCCGAGCGTCTCGGTCGGCCGGCGCCGCGCCAGCTCAAAGTTCTCCGTCAGCCGCTGGGAGTCGCCGCTGCGCTGAGCTGTCCGCCGCCAGAGGGCGCTGATGTGGTCGTGGAGAGGTCGGACCAGCAGCTCCTCCAGTACCCCCTCCAAGATGGCGTCCAGGTTCAGGAACTCGGTGGAAGACAGCTGAGGAAACAGGAACGTGAAACGGTCAGTGCGTTGATTGATACGGGTGTCAGGTTTTGAGATGACGCCATCTCATACAGCTGAAGTGTTGTGATACATTACTGAGCGATCAATACGGGATGCCAGCGCGTGATTGATAAATCAAATTTCCAAGTAACGGGCCCCATCAGGACCGGGGCCAATCAAAGCAAACTGCTTCATCGAAGTTTGGTGATTGACTGTCTCGGAGAGCTGAAACATTTCCACCAAATGACAGGCGGGCGCCGCCGCAATACTGACGAAACGGACCTCCTTGAGCAAGACTGGAACCGCCATGACAAAGCGAAACACGCAGCGCTTTACGTAATAAGTGGGGTGTTGTTTTGCCTTTATGAAACAGACATGGCAACGCTATCGTAATTTGACTTATCGTACTGCCTAACCATAGCGATAACCTTCCGCCCTTCTCGAGCACATCAGCTATTCAACTAATCCTCACCCAAACATGGTTGCATGTCACCTACCTCCTCTCTCGTCGTCCAACCCTCTCACTCTCCCACCTGATCCCATCCTTCCCCTCATCCCATCCTCAGGGTCACTCTCTCGCCACCCACCTTGCTGCGCTCCTGGTGTACCACCTGATGGAACTCTCCCTCTCCGTGCTTCACCAAGTAGTTCTTCATACCGTTACAGAACTGACGGATGTTGCGCATTACCACGTGCGGGTCCGTCTCGGCGCCCTCACGAGTG